ACCTGATCACAGCTGGACTGGGAAGAGGAGCCACAGGTAGGTGTGACCAGCAAACACCAGGATTCCAACCAGTAGCAGCAACAGGTAACACCAGTGATAGCAAATGCCACTTAAAAACATCTGAAGCTACGTGGACTGCAGATTTTCCTGAGCCAAGAGATCCTTAAATCCTTTTCTCCTCTTTCATTCCATTGTTTTGGTAGCAGTTCCTTCTCTGATTCCATTTCAGCTTAAACCAGAGGCCAGCCCTCCCTCCCCACCGCTGTGATTCATCTTCCAAGTCATTCTGATGGTGGAACCTTGGATTTATTCTATCAGTGCTGTGTCTTGCTCCTGAAAAAGGTTTTTCAGTCACCTCAAAGACTGCTGGTAGTAATGATGCAACAAGCAGAGCACAAAGATGAACAGCTCAGAGTCTATGGAGTGACAAAAGCTGGGATTAGTTTGCTAATTACATGTAGGCACAACTGGCCCAATGAAGGACACTGTACCAAAAGCTTTAAATTAACCCAAATTGTATTAATGTCCTCAGTCTTTCTGTGTGATGTGTCCGCACCTCTAAATCCAGACACCACCCTGCCATCCAAAGGGGCAGAAGTGACTACAGACCTGCCTAGGAGCAGCAGCCATCCCAATTCCCCCCAAATATTAACAAACTGCTTATGCTTTAGTGTCATATGAGGGGTGTTTGACTCTAACTCAAAAAATACCTATCCATACCTGGCCACAACTGCAACAGGGCAGAGCTGAGCTTGGGAGAGCTTCACCTGGAAGAGCCACAATCCTGCTGGCAGACAGTGGGACCATTTGGAGAGGGAAGCAAGTGAGAGCAACACACCTTGAAATGCTCCTTATTCTCCAAAGCAGGCTGTGTGTGCCGCTGCCCTCACCAGCACCTCCAGGCACAGGGAGCAGAAGCACCAATCGCCTCAGGCTGGGTGAGTACCCAGGAGTGCCCCCCACTGCCCTCACAGAGCGCTGAGGCTGCATCCTCTGAGGCTACGAGGGGAAAGCTCGCTGGGCAATGCCATGTAGGACAGGAGCTCAGACCCAGCACCAGACACAAGCAGGGGGGTGCAGGTCCAGAGCCAGTCATCCTTCCATCAGGTAATTTTACTATAGAGCCTCTTAGCTCCCATGACCCTTTCTCCTCGCAGGCATTGTTGCCTGTAGTGCTGGTACACGACCCACCAGGCTCCAGCAGCAGCAGAGCTGTTCCTGTGCTGGCACCGCCACAGATCCAGGAGAAAACACAAAGCTGCAGGAATGGGCCAGCAGCACACTGTAAAGCTAATGGAGGCTTTGCTAGGATGAAGTGTTAAACCTGGCAGTGATTAACACACATGGCTTCAGCCAGACCATGACAGAGCATTCCGCTTTCCTTACGGTGTTTGAAAATTGCATCTGAACACAGAGAAAGGATAAATTCCGTCAGTCCATCATACCGTCACAGCAGCAGGGTGGTGCTGTACAAGCACTGAAGTTCAAAGGACAAGATATTGGTGTTGAAAAGGTCACTGTGCCAGCTCCGAGACTCCGCTGATCCCACAGAAGTCTGCCAGGGGAAGCAGGACGCAGTCACGGCACACTGAACAGAGCCGCAAGGAAGAGGAGGATACAGCACTTGCCTCAGGAATGAGGGAAATGTCATTTATCTCTAAGGCATGACTCGGGCAAAATGTACCTGCTGCTGTCTGGTCCAGCCCCCACGACTGCCCACGGACCTCCATGGGAGCCCAAACCTGCTCTCCTCAGCACAACGTTCCCTGTCCGTGCAGGATCCTGCACAGGCTCTGCAGGCAGAGCGGCTGCACGGCCGAGCCTTCTGTCAGCACAAACCTGCATCACCATCACCAGTATCCAGAACGCTGAACTTTTCCAACTTGATTCCTCCCTGCTCCCTCTGTGCTGATTCCAGCAGAGATTTATCCAGAGTCCAGAGGCATACCCGGGACTTGCACAGCTCCTGCCACGTACGAAGCTCACAGCTGGATGATGCTCACAGCTGGATTCTTTTTGACCTATCTTTAATTTTATCCCCTTATTTTTTGCCAAGCCCTCAACTTCTCTGTACGACCCCCAGTAAATCACTGCATGGATGGAAACTGCCACAGTGCCCAAACGAAGCCATGAACATTTAATGCACAAACAAGCCCAGAGGCAGCACAGTCGCCCCGTGCTAATTTAGCAGGAAAATGTAGTTGTTCAGTTCAGCCTTTGCTCCCACCATCCCGAGCACCACAGGGTGAGCATGTGGATGCAGGACTTCCTTGACTGCAAACCTCAGCTGAGGCCTCACACACTCGTGGCTGGGGCTGCCTCTGAGCCAGCAGAAAATCGCTTGCGCAGCCCTGCCTCCCTCCCGTTTCCATCAACACGGCCGTGCTTTGCCGTGCTGACAGGTGAGCACGCAGGTACTGGTTTAGATGCTGTACACGATTTTACAGAGGTAGTTCATCGCCTTTTTTTGAGGTTAATTCACCAGGAAAAATTACTTTTGATAAAATCCTACCTCTCAAACAAACTTCTCCTTCCCTGCTGCATTCCCAAAACCCATTCTAGCTCTACTTTAAAACACATTTTCTACCTGTACTTAAAACAGCCCAGAAGCACAGGTGATGTTTTTCTGCCGCTACATTCGGGGTTCCCTGCTATGCACAGCGCATTCCGGGCGCTGGGAGAATTTTAACTAGATCTTAAGATCCGTCCGTGCTTCAGGCACAGCATCCCGATCCTGCCCACTCCCAGCGGCGGGGAGCGTGAAGAAATGCGATAAACACAACGATCTCACGAAACAGCGCGGGCACTGGGTACTCCTGGCACGATCTCGCCTAGTCAGTCCCAAGCGACAGCGTCCCGGCAAAAGGGAAGGTGCGGCAGCGGAGAGGGGCACCGAGGACAGAGCGGGGCTGGAGTCGCGGGGTGCGCGGGGCAGCTGCGGAGGCAGAGGGGCGCGGTGCAGGGTCGGGGTGAGGG